CTCTATTATCTATTATTTGTAGAATCTTCTCTGTTTTATTCATTGTGCACATAAAGGGTAGCTAATAGGGGATAAATCACGTAGTGTTGCTAAAGTCACGTGAAGCAGAAAAATCTTTTATGTATTTTGTTTCTTATTTTAGTAATTCCTTATTTTGATTTGTGTCTTGATTTTGTTTTGATCAGATATGTGTTGCTTATCCCTTTTTTATCTAGTGTTGTTTATTTGTTTACACTAGTTTGTAATATTATATTATAGATCTCTGCTGTTTTGTTTATGTCAATTACATCCTGTAATGATGTTGTGATTGAGGATCTTGCCAAATCTAGTCTCTCTTATTGTACTGTTGTGATAGATCTTTGTCGAACTTGTTTTGATAACAGGTCTATACATGTGTATGTGTTTGCGTTACTCTGGCTAGATGTTTTGATGTTTGCAGGATGGGGTATGCACGTTAGGCTATTTAGACCTTGGGAAGCTTTGATATCCTTCTGGGTCTTGAGAGATTTGAGGTTTACTTGATTTATCAAGCAAATCTACTTTCTTTAAGATTCCTTGTAGTGTCAAGAAAGGTGTCAATCTGTACTGGCCTGGCTGTAAGCACTGTGAAGTTGATATTGGCTCCTCTTTTCTGACTGTGAATCAGTTTATGTTGATTTCTTTCCTTCTTCTTGAAAAAGGAGAAAAAGTCAAAGTTGTTACTATATGTATATATTTTCCAACAATCTATTGCTTTAGAGCTGTGCATGAAATGTTGTTTTGTACTAGGATGACTGTTGTATATTGGTGTTGCAAGAATATGTGTCTTGAATTATAGATGTTTCTCTTTCCTTGGGTGAATTGCCTAAAAAGAATATTTTTAAGAATCTGAGAGATTTTATAGCTCTTCACTTTCAGTTTATAACTTATTAAATATTCATTTAATATTATAATAAAGATATATATTATAATAATAATGTAATTATAAATAAATAAAAATAAATAAATAAAAATAAGAAGTTAAAAATTTTATTTTAATATAATTCAATGTTATAATTATTATTTAATAAAATTGTACTAAAAATTTTTATTCAAAAATTATAAAATATTGTTATTTATATTATAGATAATGATATATTTTAAATTAGTTAAATAAAAAAAAATAAATACATAATACAATAATTCAAAATAATTAAAAATTATAAAAACTTTTAAATAAAATATTTTTATTTATAATTACAAAAAAAGCCTATAATATATCATATAAAACTATCAAGAAAAAAAAATCCATTCAATATAAAAATATATAATTTTATTATAACTATAATTTAAAAGATTTTATTGAATAACATGTTGACCTGACTGCGGGTTAAAAAAAAAAAAGAACTAATAAATAATTTATTTGAAACTTTTAAGATAAAACAATTTATTTAAAAGTAAAAAAAATTATCGTTTAAATCAAATAATATGCATAAATAATATTATGAATATAAAACTGCAATATTGCTTAATCAAAGGTTTGTAATGCTATATAAAAAGTATGCAGCCGATTGAAAGGTTGCATATTAAACAGAACTTTAATCAATCTTCAATTGATTGCTATATTGTTAAGTTTGTTAAAAGAATGATCAAATAATGATATTTATTGATTAGTTGATTGGTTAAGGATAATACAACTTTTTAAAATAAGTTTGAGTTAAATTTGTATATTTCCTGAGATCGGCGGAATGTTGGAAAAAAGTGATATGCTCATTTTTCGATGTTCGGGAGAAAACGCTTATACCTCCTCATACTCTTATGTTCTTAATTTTTGTTGCAGAAATTACTCGAGAATTTAAAATCTAAATTATTGTTTTCCGGAAAAATTCGACAAAGCTTTTGTCATATTACACGAAAAAATGACGTGCATATCCGTCGATCTTTCTGTAAAACATATGGTTTGTGTCAAGGATTACTCGCATATTATTGGATACCTTCCAGATGTAAAGTACAATACGCATAGAGAATGTTTATGTGAATGATAAAGGCAAAATATTGACTCTTTAAGCTAATGAGTGTTGCTATTTAGGATCACAATGAGTTCTCCACAATCAATGTCACCAATGCGTGTAATTAATCGTTAATTCTTTACTTCATTATTAACTTAATCGAGGAACGCTAAGCAATATTTGATGCATGAATATTAAAGTTTTGATGATTTTTTACGTGAAATTACATTTCTCCTAATGAGAGATGGTCAAAAGGTTCTCACCGAATGAATCACGCTGCCGAAAATTACCTGTTTGTTTATATTAGAGAAATTATGGAGTACGTATTTCTCGATCACCGAGACTTTTACGGGCAACAAAATGAAGAACCGATGACACGTTATGTTATGATAAACCGAAACTATAAAATCCACCACCCGGGAGGAAAAGTAAGGTCGTGTTCTCCATCGTCCCAACTTTAATTTCCCTCTTTCCAACATTCCTTCACATTCAGAACCCACAACCCTCATCCCAAACTTCACACTCACTCCCGTCCATCGTTGTTAAGATGAAAGCTTTCAAGTGGCTTTTCGTTTTCTTCTTGATCATTGCCTTGTTCGACGTGGTGTCCGCAGCGTAAGTATGATATGACCCTCACTTCCCCTATTCAAAACAATTAATTCCTATCGCTTTTCAATCAATTATAGACCATTGAACGATGTCCCGCTCCCCAAGCCGTCGTCCCCTGAACCTTTTGAAGGAGGCTCTCCACCATTTCACAAGCGTTTAACTTGTATGATCATGTGCCCATTGAAGGTTAAACGATATCTTAACTACTGCACGTGCCCACCCATTCATCCGGCGACTGAATAAAGGGGACAGACGTGAAAGCACTTCGAGCACTTTTTAGTTGATTCTTATTTCGCTCCATTTAATCCCTTATCCCTTATTTCCATACCTTTCAACCCGTTCGAGAAGCATTTTAATAAAGCTATCATCATATATTGGCTACTGTATACCTCATTTCAATTGTAAAAGTGAACTATGATCGCATTACAAATTAACCGAACAAATTGTCTATTTACGCATACAGTGTTCTATATTCTTGAGTGAAGATATTTTATTGGATCACCAGATAAATACTCTTATAACACCTGTCACTCTATTGAGTGCACAGAGAAAAATGCTAACACAAAGTAATTTCGTAGCGAAGATTTTAAGAAATAGAAATTGTCCGAGGACTTTAATTCTGTACTAGGAATTCATTTTGCTTCGTAAAATGAGAGGTTTACGGAGAGTTATTATTTGAAAGGCGAATGGAATTATGCGGTCGACCTATTGTCGTGCGTCACCTCTTCATCCTCGACTTCCAACATTTTACAACACCTCAACAATTGATTGGCACCACATTCGTTAGCGAGTGCTTCAATGGTTTCCACCGATTCATTATTCACATATTCCCTTATGCTCTTTTCACACCTCTGAATCAGTGCAGGGATTAAAAATCTCGAGGCACCATGCAATAATTCAACCCATTCGTCATACGAATTTATATCTGGTAAAGAGCCGTCATAGATGAATTTGAGAATGATTTCAAGAGAATTTAAAGAAATGTCCGTTAGTGTAACCGAATTTTCTCTGGACTCGGTCATATGTGAATCGAATAATGCTTTGAAGTAGTCTGATCTGGCCGAAAGTACATTGCGATGAACATGGAAATCTCGAATTTCTTTGTTGGGGGTTACGTGATCGTTATCTTCCAAACTTTCTGGAATTTTCAGATGCACGACAAAATCGCTGGTATCATTGTCATTTATTATTAATTCTTTACCTTTCCCTTCTTTACTGTACTCGATTTCAGGGAGTGGTTCGCATACCAAATCCGGAATCAGCTCCACCCTCACATCCAGTCCAAAACTAACTCCCGAGTCATCATCCACAACTCCAGAATTGTCAACCGGTGTTCTAAAGAGTTGAGTTCTTTGCCATGAAATATTTGTATGTAAACCTCCACTTAACGAAGCATGCAACACAAATCCATATTGACCTTCGACAAGTGAGGTCACATCCTTATAGGAGTCTACACTGTGAGGGTAAAACGATACCGGTTCGAATTCAATTGTTTGTGGAATCGGGCTTACATTGGCTCTCGAAGGTAACGCGGTAATTGTCCACGCTACCGAAGCATCATGGTCAAATATTGTATGTTGCAACTTGAGCGACAGTTTAGAGATGACCAGGTTTCCCTTTCTGTAATCAAATCTCCAGCACACCTTACCAGGCTTATCTATGTTTTCTCTTGGATCGCGTGCGAGATAGACCCTGAATTCAACCCATGAGAATTAATGATAGCCGAAACATAACTTTCACCAACACAGCTCATTTAAATATGCTCACATGTTCCAATCGTATTCCCTCTTATAATCAATGTTGTCCCACAGAAGAACTCCTTTTTTCCATGTTTTAATGTATTCTCTGTCCAACCTTCCATTCTCGTAATATGCGTTAGTTACGGTGTTGTAAGATAACCGATGTGTGTACATGTCAGGCTTCTCATCATCCTTTAGCACATGTATTAAATCTTTGTCATTCAATATACCGCCAGGAATACCATCATCGGTATCCTGTTTCTCAGTGGACTCTTTTTCTTTGCCTTTAGTAAACGGAGGTCTGTAGACCGGCGGCATAAATACGTTCGTCCACGCTTGTGCCGATTCAACGTTGCTTCTCAATATGCATGCAGGAAAACCGATCCTTGCGCCGGTTAACGGTATAATATTTTGATGATTACTTTGATCATTGGTTTGATCGTTATTCTCTTCCATGTTTCTTAAAAATAATTTATAGTTCAAGCAAAAAAAAAAAAGGATATCGACAAATTTATAATTTTTTTATGCCCAGCCCAAACTTTACAGTAACCAAATTTAGCATCGCTGATAATTTCTATTAATATAATAAAGTACGTTAACATAAATTACCGGAAATCGTTACGTAATACCGATTAAGAAAAAATTTATAATATTCAAAAAATCAATATTTAACGTATTCACTTTTAATTTTAATAACCTCTTTAATACATTTTGGAATACTCAAAATTAGATGACATAATGTTTCTATAATAATATTTGCCCATTCTTCTTGTGCAACTCTAATTAATCTTGTTTAATTTAGGTAATAAATTGTTTGTTTTTTTTTTTTAACCAGTGGTCAGGCCAATATTGTGTGTTTATTAATCAATATAAAAACTAATAAAGATACATAGTGCAATTACATCATGGCTAAACTAAAAGATTCATACTGACACATTCATCAATGGCTTTCAATTCTCAAAAGAGCTTCAGCCTTTAAGTGCAACCTTGGGAACAATATTTTGTTCTAAACTAAGTTTTAGGTAAATACCCTTCTAACTTATTTATCACTGTCAGCAGATTGTCACTGCTTATTATCCTTCAAGAAACCGAATTTGAGAAACTGCAAAAGGGGAAAGGAAAAATAAAAAGAAAGGAGAATATCTAAAAATGTGCAAATGTATTATATAAAAATGAAAAAAAAATTAAAATTAAAATATTTCATGTTCTTCAAAGAACCTCTGCTAGAAACCTTTTCTCATTAGAAATTAACCTTTCTGAGATATTCTTCTTCTTCCTAACCATCTAAGGAATTTATTTATCTATACTCTTGATTATTTTCTTATAACTATCTGAGATACTTATTGCCTACTCGAATCCAATGTCTTTCTAGTCACTTCCTTTCTTTCGATCTTGATTTTGTATTCATCCATACCAAGTAATAACTTATGATGGATCCCAGATTCTTATGTAACTTTTCAATCATATTGTATAACTATTGATATTTTCTAACAATCACACCTAATTAAAGAAATTTTATTGATGAATATCTTCCATTACCCAAAAAATCAGATTCCCCAACAGTCTTTTTGCCTTGTAATGGTGAAAGGGTCTTATACATTATGAGGATTCTCATTAATTACAATATTATTACACAATGTCTGGAAAAATGCATTCTCAATCCTAAAAAAAAGTAGTGGCTCATATTCTTCTATTTTTTGATTTTATTGCCTAACTGGAATAAGGAAATAACCTCCTTCACATATTTTGCCTGATCAGGATTATAAGAAGTTGAAAACCTTAGCTTGAACAAATAATTATCTTTTTATCACCTAAAAAATTTAATGCTCATTCTAATGGCCTCATGATTTTTTTACTTCAATTATACTTTATTTGGAAGAGTGGGGGATTTGTGCCAATAAATTCTCTTTCTTTTATCAATGATGTCATCAGAATACATAAAGTGATCAGTAGATACTTGTTTATATTCAACTACTAATATGTTTCATATTCATCAATCATATTTTGCAATGAATTGTATCACCTAAAATTTAGGATCAAATTGAGATAGGCAAAATTCCTCAAAAAATCAAAAAAATTTTTGAACAACTATAAGAGAGAAGATACAGTAGGCAGATACTTTGAAATATGACTTAGCGTTTGCTACCTCCCACTGCTAGAAATCTCTATAGGCATACTTCAATATAAAAAGTTTCAAGTATTACACTATTAGTTTTTCTTATTTGTAGAACTTTCTTGCCATTGGTAGAAAAGGTATTTCTTGACTTTTCTAAGTTACAGAAAGTCAAATTTTTGTTTGAAAATGAATATAAACAAGGAAAAAGGTTTGGGAATATCTCTTGAAATAAAACTTTAAGTTGGTTTAAGAATAGTGTTAAGATTTTATTAGTAAAGAAATAAAAAATTTCTTGCGAACATCTTTTTTGTGTATGGTCAGAGGATCAGTGAAAAGAGATTTTTTATTAGTTTTTCTCGATGGCTTTTTGACATTCTAATAACTGATCAATTTTTTTATAAAGACTTTTGTGGGACTTTAAAAGCCTTTCAATTACTATATTAGAAACTAAATATACAATTTAGTATTTATTTAAATAGTTATATTTTTTTAATATATCTAAAGATTCTTCGGGCAGTCTTCTAGTAAGCGAAAATTCTAGAAAATAATTGAGGAATCTTAATCACTTCCGGATCAGCTCTGTTTCCGTTTTAGCATGAGGTGATGGTTTTCATTCTTCAGCTTGATCTGAGATACCGGGAGTACTCTTGGGCTTTTTGGAGAGCTTCGAAATACTTCCTTGTCATTTTCCAAAGTCTGAACCTGAAATCATTTGTTGGAACATGTTACACATTTCTTTTTTTTTATTTGACATTAATAAAAAAGAAAGAACTTTAGAGACCTTATATAACAAATCCCAAGAAGTTATGTCATATTATGATCACATGCAATTCTTTGTCACCTTTCAAAAATTATTTTATAGTTTTAAAAATGAAATTATATTGATAAAATTATAACAACTTATAAATTAAATTAATTAAATTTTTGATTGACTAAAATTAATCAATATTTTATTGATCAATTTTATTTTACTATACATATTATTCTGAAGTTTTTTGAAATAAAAAATCTTCGAAGTTTTTTATTATTAAAATTAATGAAATTATTTTTGTTTTACAAATTTTCAAAAAATTTTAAAGTTTTTTGAAGAATTTTTCGAAAATTTCTAGAAAAATTTTAATAGGTGAAGATCTCCAGAAATCTTCAAAAAATTTTCCTGATGTAATTTCAATTCTTCTATCTTCTATATACATATCATTGTTATTTCATTGTTTACTATTAATTTATTATTTATTTGTTTGATAATTTCTATTAATTGCTACTTTGGTTTAATATGGTTTTCAGAATTCTTGATAATTTCTATAAACTTGTCTTTTATATAGAATTGTAAGAGATCTTCTTTTATTCCTTTACCTTTTTATCAAATATATATAATATGCTAAGTTAAAATTTATTCCTTGTGAAAAGTTGTTATATCAACTTCTAATATATTAGCTATAATACTGTTTAAAATAGTATATATTTCTAATAATAAGATTACTGATTTATTGGATTTACTATTTCTTTGTTATAGTAATTATTGTGAGACCCATAGAATAAGTATTCATCATATTTTCTTGAGAAATTAATTAGAATATTTATTATATTCTCTTCTCTCTTACTGACTATTTATAATATACTGTATATAGTGTTTTATTCATATTTACTAATAACTCAAATCTATTGATAAATCATGTAAATACTTATTTGTATTTATTTATGATTTATTTTAGATTATAAATAAACTTTTCAAAGATTATTATTGTTTATGTATTTCAATTAGATAATATAGAAAAATCTTGTTTATTATTTTGATATATTTATTTATTTATATTGACAATCCTATTTTAATTTTGAGAGTTACTATTACATTTATGTAGATTATTGATAAACTTGTTTAGTTGACAAGTTGTATATGTATGTACATGGTTTGTTTGTTACTTTTATGTATATACTTGTTTTGCTTATCTACTTTTTATATGTTTGTATTTATGTAATAAGATAGGAGATAGATATATTGCTTATGTGTGCATATACATTTAGACTGTTTTTGTCTTTAGGGAGCTTTAATATTTTTTGGATCTTTGAATAATTTAAGTAACTTGATTTATTAAGTAAGCTTAGTTGCTTCTTGGATTTCTTACAGTATTAATAAATATATTAACCTGTACTGATCTGGCTTGAGCTGTGTGAAGTTGATATTGACTTTTTTTTTCTAATTGTAAATCAATTTACAGGTCTCTTTTCTTTTTCCTAAAAATTTTTTATAAAAAGAAATAAAAGAAGATTAGTAAACCACTATATACTCTTTTCTTGATATTTTTGAATAGCTTTTTATATGTACTATATATTTAAAATGCTTAATAGCTTGGTTTAAAGAATATGTTGCTTTTTCTTGTGTAGTTGAACTGGTTCACTTTTTCAAGAAAATTATCAAAAAAAGAGGATATATTTTTATTTAATATTTCTATTTTTTTTTTAAAAAAAATCCTCTATTAGGCTAGATATATATACTTTATTAAGTATATATATACTTTATATTGAAAAATGTATTACTAAAGCTAAGTCTCTATCCAACTCATTCATCTCTATTTTAAGAATTATTAAATTCTAAGTACAACTTTAAAAATGATTTATTGCTCTGTTAATGGTTCAGATAAAGACCCTTCTGATTATTAACTCCATTGCTTGTAAGTCACTATTGCAGATTACTTTATAAGATTTTGACAAAGCTTAAAACCCAACTATTTTATTTCATATTCCACTTTTCTTTTTAAAATTTTTCAGAAGCTTTTATCTTCAAGGTTTTCTTCTTCAGATAATAAATTTCTTTTCTTCAAGATCATAGTTTTCTGACCTGAAAGATATAAAGGACTTTTTGTCACGTTCTCTTTATTAATTTCTTATGTTTATTCCTATTCAATTATCTTTTTGCATCTCTTGTTCCAAACTTCTTTTCAGACTTGGTTACAGACTTTTTTTTTTCATTTTTATTATTAGCTTTCTTGCTATTCTTTCTATATATTTATCTTGACATTTTAGGTCTACTATTTCTAGAATAAGATTGGTTCTTATAAGGTCTATACAGAAACTTAGTATATTTTAGCTGATTTTAGAAGTCTATTTTACTACTTTAGAGATCCACTTATTAACCTCTTCTATTTCTTTTTGGTCATCAATAATTAGCCTGGAATTTTTCTCTTTAGTCTCTCTCTTTCTTTCCTACAGTAGCTCTTTAAAGTTTTTAATAATTCCATCTACTTATTTATTCTATATCTCTTGTAACTGGTTCTTATAGGCTGAACATTCTAGTAAGTGTTCTATAGTTTCATTTTGTTAATTATATACAATATATTTTACT